CGAGAGTGTGAGGCCTAGGCAGGGCGGTCATGAGAGGGGAGGTCCCAGGCGGGCCAGGTCACGAGAGTGTAAGGCCCCAGGCAGTGCGGTCATGAGAGGGGAGGCCCAGACGGGACAGGTCACGAGAGTGTGAGGCTCCAGGCAGGGCAGTCACGGGATCAGAGGCCCCAGTCAGGGCAGTCACGGGAGTGTGAGGCCCTAGTGTGAGACCCAGGCAGGCAGGGTCAAACATGAAATGATGAGCTGCCTCTGACCGAACAGCAAGACCACACACGTTCCAATTAAGCAGTGGGTGTGCTGTGCTGAAGCAGCAGTAAAAACAGCGGACCCGGTAATGTGTACAATCCAGGTGAGAGTGAACCAGCCAGGGGCGGATACAGGGGGGGGGGAGAGGTATGCAGACATGCTCCCTTCCTAGTAAGCGCCGCCCATGACGCTTTGGGGTCTCGGAGAAGCATCAAAAATTTTACCCCGGACCCCGTTACCTTAGTTTGGAGAGGCACCAAATTCCAGGTGGCATCACAGATGGGCTGCAAGCTTCAATTTCACGAGACACCAATTTTCATTTGGCAGCACAGCGCCCATGCCTTCCCTTGACGAAAATCTGGACCGGCGCTCTGGGCAGATAGGCCAAAATCGCTCAGTTTAGGGATCTCATGATCATCATTTTTTAAAAAGCAGCAATGTCCAGGTGCACCGTAAAGGGCCTCAAAACCGTCTCCGTGTATTGGTGCCAAAAGCCGCTGGATACCGTAGGCTAGCTGGTGACGGGTTATTTATGCCACTTTGTCGGATGCACAAAACAAAGTGCATGATGGATGATAGTTGATAGATGATGACATTAACAATATAACTACGCCGACGATACAAAAAAGCGGGCTTGTGCCACGACATATTACGTATTACGAAACGAAAACGTCCAAGATATACGAGGTGACGAAATTGTCTTCACGGTTCCCCGCAGACAGCAGTTCACGGTGCAAAATCCGTGTAAAGTTGACTGCTTTCGTGTTTAAGCAATCACTGCACAGTCAGTCAAAAACATGACTTTCGCCAGACTCGTCGCACGTTAGTTAGTGATATCTCATTCTGGGTTGTGACATATATTTTTTAAATCATTGTCCTCCAGATGACAGGATGCACTCGTCTCCGACGAAAACGAACACGGGTACTTGCGATCCATATCTTTACTTTCACGGTCTGCAGGGAAAGATTGCTCTCCGAATTACAAAGTAAGAATCTACAACTTAATAAAGGGCCGTGCAGCCCCAGTTGGCGCAATATGTCACCTCCACTCCTCCGTCTTTGATGAAATCGTGGATCGACACGCGACCAGCTGCGAAAGCAGCTTTGTGCCGGCCGTTTCCAGACAATGGACCGTAACACAATAACGTGCTATATTGAGACAGTCTTCTTAAGCAAAGCGCATGGTTTTACCGACCGCTAAGTTACGACAAGTATTTCATGTGACAAAATGTGCTTGAGCGGCACCACAGCACCATGTCATGGCACCATGTCCACCATGAGCGGCACCATGTCATGGCACCATCCTAGATAGTTCCCACCCCATCCCATCCCGTCCCATGTCATGGCAACCTGTCCCACTGGTTGTGTCGACGCGGCTACGCGGGCAATAACGGACGGAACAACCACGAAGCAGGCAGGCACGGGCAAAACGGCCGGAGCGTCCATTCATGAGGAAGGTCACAGACCACCAAACAAGTTGCACGCTAGACTGTAGCAGCTAAATCAGTGGTGAGTGCTGCATGCTCTTCGCCATTGCTCAATCTGTCCTTGGGTGTACGCAATCTGACGTAGCAGAATAGCACGACGGCGCAGATGTCTGACTATGGCGGCCGTCCTTGCCGGACTCAGGCTCTTCTCAATCATCAGGTATGTCTGTCAGGTGCGTGAGGCGGACGGTTGCAAAACATGAAATTTGGTCATGGCATGTGCCGAGGTTATACGGAAGAAAACGCACCCAACACTCATGCTTTCGAGAAACTGGATTTATTGAACATGACGAAGGACGAGGTAATTTTTTTCGAATATTTATTTCGAAACTTTTAAATGAATGGGTTTCTGGAATCAGCGCTCATGCTAAGCAGTGCGTGTCGTGTGCGCATTGATCGCTACCATGAGATTGTGCTGTTTCAGGTCAACAGCAGAATTTGGGGGGGGGGGAAGCTCCACGTGCCGCAGTGCCCGGCACGGTCTGTCCTGCCTTCTGACGTTAGCTGACCTATAGCGCGGCCGCCGCCAACGACCGCAGGCCATCCCTGTCAAGTGCAAATAGCGAACGATTAACGCGACTTGAACTCACCCCGCCACGGGTGGGTGGATCGAAAGGCAGGCGTTCTAACCAACTGAGCCATCGGGGTTGACACCATCACTAATGCGAAGCCTTGTGACAAATGCAACACACGGGTTCCCATGGACAAGGAAGATATGTCCCCGGGGTGCAGTATTGTCAATACTTACCAAAAAATAAATAAGAATATTGCACATGAGGTAACTGGAAACACAAATAATATGATGAACCTCATATTCAAACAAGATTCACAAGAAAAACAAGATTCATGGGGGCTACTTCCACGCCCCCCCCCCCCAAGCGCAGTAAACCATCGGAGTTTTACGGGTCACCTTAGTCAGACCTTCCAACCGGATAGCCCATTTATACTCATTGTGTCAACTTGGGCGCCCCACTCGTTAACCTCTCTTGGTTTTCATGGTGCTTCCTAAGCCTATCGCAACACCTCTGTTTCGCTCCGACCCATCTGCACAACGCCCAGTTCAACTTAGTGTATATCAAAAGAAGTGTGTCACCAACGCCCCTGCGGGAAACATTACCGCATTCTTCTTGCACGTCTAAAACCCTATATGAAAATATCCCTATGCCGAGAGGTTATTGGCGCAGCCTTTAGTTAAGGGCAGCCGTGTTCTCTTCACGCATATCTTAACTAACGATTTTTTGCTTTTGGCTCAAATAGCGTGGCTAATAGGATAACGCTCCCCGTGGAAATAACGTCCATGCATGAGATTGAGACAGGCCTTCGTCGAAACTTCACCGTCCCTATTGTACAAACCTTTTGTGTTTCAAAATTTTGACGTTACAAACTCTTTACGCTGTGTTATTTAGCCTGACGAAGGTAAGACATGCCAAATTTATGCCCCGAACGATGGACATCCGAACTTTTGCTATGCGCACTTTGGTCCGCACACCCGTCATGATCTTGAAGCACATATTGAGCATTATTATGCCTAACTTTTCATCTTGCTGCCACTTGCATCCTTAATTTCGAGCCTGCATACGTACTTATATTTTCAGCACTGGCTCCGTATGAGTAATTCACAGTCAAATGCCTTATTTCCGACCCACAGACGGACAGATTTTGGCGCCTTCGCAGCGTCATCTATAAATAGCGCACCTGGATTGCCCCAATGAGACGTTCAGATGAAGGTGGCGCTAGAGATGGGCGCACGGACGGCGGACAAAAGTATGCATATGAAGTTTCGCATGACAGCCGGTGGTAGGAGAAAGTTTGTATGCCTAAAAATTGTCAGGATGTAGTACGTATGGTACATAGCTCGGAACTTAAAAGTTTGCGTTGTAAGAAGTTTGTAGTTGAAAAAGTTATTTCATATATCGCATTTTCCCAGCGAATATTTTGCTTTACGGACTTACAGTTCCTTACCAAAAATGTTCGTGAGCGCAAAAGTTGGGAAAAACTCGCATATTGTGTGTTTCGTGCGCAAATGCTCGCTTATAAATGCTACCCAGAAAAAGGTTCGCTGGCTAGCTGAGTAGGCTAAGTTTGCTTAGCTGGCCAAGTACGCACGCAAAAATCGTATGAAAGAATACAATGTAAGTTTGAATGCAGATCCTGTCCTTGGTGCCGGGCCTTGGACAATAGTCACCGCGGCTCACCAAAGTCCGTGCACAGGTGAGCGGAAGGGAGAAGGAGATGTCGGTGGGTGGCAAAAATTGCATGGGTCACGCCACATATTATGACGAGCCGACTTATTCATGACATGAAATGGAATGCTCGCAACGACCAGCGAATAAACATAATTGATACAAGTGGTGCAAAATGATGCCGGGATGGAAAAGACCTGAGACAAAAAAAAATCCGCGGCAGATCGCCACCGCGTTCTTCTGTTCCTCCTTTTCTCCCGCCCTGACGAGACCTCTGTCGCCGCTCCCTGCATGGCGTCACTTGAGCGCCGCTGACGCAACTAACGGCCGCGGCAGGAGTTTGCTCGCTTGTGAAATACGTTGGGCATGCGCACAGGCTACACCTATTATACGATCACTCCTATACCGTACACCAAATTTCAGAGAGAGATCACCCACTCTACCCGCTTTGATGCACCCGCTTTGATGAGAGCTTTGTTTGCACCTAATCTATCACTGACCAAGGCTATCACTTTTAAACTCTCCGCCTAAAAGAGCAAGAAATTTCACGCGGTGGAAAAAGCGATGAAGTTGGATTTTCCAGCGGCGGCGAAATTTGAAGGAAATCTCAGAAATGGCGGTGCGTTATGTGGTGCCCGGTGCCGATCTGTCCTAGCCGGGGCATTATTCATGCGCATTTGTTACATTGCGATCAATGATTATCAACTTTTGCGCATTTACTTTTTCCGAACGAATTTGACCCGTTACCAACATTTTTAGGCGTGCAGCCGTATGCACACTCTGTACCGTGCAAAGTACTACGTACTTTTGCGTATGAGGTTTGGTGTAATTCTGAAACACGAACTTATGCCTTACGTTCATTGGCTCATGAATAATTGCGTACGTAATTTTCCATTATGCGCTTCTGTCCTAGAGCCCAGGCACGCAGACAAAAACCTTCATCCGTGCGTAATATAGAACAGCGCTAATCTAGTTTTGCACTTTTAACTGAGTGGAACACGATGATGCCTAATGTCACCCATGCCTACAAACCATGCCATACCTACCAACCATGCCTAACTACGCATCTTTGACAAAGGCATAGAATTTTGCGATTTATGTGTTCACTAATTGATATTTTTATATGTGCCGAATCATACCGGCTTATCTTAAGCCCAAATCAACAATGGCATTACAAGCCGGAGATACAGTACTATCGGTATGCTCAGCAAAAAACCATAATTTGTATTTCTTTTGAAGAGATTTCGTTCTTCATGTAAGACAGAGGACCCTGCTCTCGAATCTGAAATAGTTACACCGACAACTTTCCAGTTGTTTATTATCAGGATGCTGAATTGCCGATAAAAAAGCACCTGCTGCTAATAAGCCGCGTCTTCTCCGGCTGTGGCTCGCTATGACCGGTGGCCGACGGGCTCTCCCTCGCTCCGTCCCCAGCCATCCGCCATCGCCGGCGGGGGGGGGGGGGGGGCTCAGGAGCCAGTGGCCGCCGTCGGCCCAGTCGCCTCGTTGGCCGCCGGCAGGATGGTAACATCTTCCAGCTGGTCGAGCAGCGCCGCCAGGTCACTATCGGCACCGACGTCGCCGTCGGCGCTGACGCCGATCACGACGGTCGGCTCCGTTGGTAGCGTCGGCGGCTCGGGACCGGCGAACAGGCCGGGTAGGCCCTCCACCTCTGTCCTGTTCACCTGAGGAGGCGACCGCACCTGTCAGCGGCTGGCAGTGGACACTGGACTCGACACGGGCGCTCCAGACAGCGCTCCAGCAGACGCGTACAGACGCGATCGCGTCATGGTACGCCAAAGAGCGGTACACCGCGGAGCGGTACACCACGGAGCGATACGCCACGGAGCGGTACACCGCGGAGCGGTACACCACGGAGTGGCGCGCCGCAGAGCGATACGCCACGGAGCGGTACACCGCGGAGCGGCGCGCCGCGGAGCGATACGCCACGGAACGGTACACCGCGGAGCGGTACACCGCGGAGCGGTACACCACGGAGCGGCACACCGCGGAGGGATACGCCACGGAGCGGTACAGCACGGAGTGGCGCGCCGCGGAGCGATAAGCCACGGAGCGGTACGCCACGGAGCGGTACACCGCGGAGCGGTACGCCACAGAGCGGTACACCGCGGAGCGGTACGCCGTGCAGCGGCTTGTAGCCGCTACGAGGCCAACTGCAGTAGGCAGGGTACTGCTGCGGTGAGAGTCCCTGGCGGAGTTCTCACCTCCTGGGCCAACAACAGTGCAGTGTTGTTCAGATGCGGTTGATCGAGTAACTCCACTGCATACAGCTCGCTAGCAGTTTCCGTGTCAACAGAGCAGACGGCCTCCTCTTGCACCGGCCGCGTGCAGTTGGTGGGAGCCAGCTCCAGCGTGAGGAAGTACAGGATGCCGTTTACTACCTGTGAACAAAAGGATCCAGTTGCAGCATATCACGTCAATATACACTGTTTGCAGTGCCGGCCGTTTGCTTATGGGCGTCCACTCGGTTGGTAGCGACAAGGGGGTAAAACGACAGGAGATTGCATTTGTAGGCGTTATCTTACTTGTTGCAAGCATACACACATCACTTACAGCTTGCCTTTTCCGCACCTTCGCGCAACCGTCGCGACATCCGATCAGTAATGGTTTCCCAGCTTATTACAGCAGTTCGGACCGGTAGCGGGAACAAGCTCCGTCGACAGATCACTAACGCAGAAGGTGCCCTAAGAACGACCGATGCTTTTCGCCTCTGGTCGGGACCAGGAACGCACAAAAGGCACTACAGGGCGATTCTCGCACTGCGAAACATCGAGCTTTCTTGATGAAACGGGGAGCACACGGTTTGATATGAGCCATGGTAGTGTGAATCTCACTTCAAAATGCACGGCTAACAGTGCCAAAATCCGACACGCAATGCCACGTTCAGCCAGCATTGATGGCCGTAACGCCGGAGGAAGACAAAGAAGCGCTGTGAAACTGCTGCAAAGCACGATTGAAATTTTGGCCAAATGCGGCCAAAGTGTGCCAAAACAAAATAATCGTGGCCAAACTTCCTCTTAGCCGCACGCCAGGCGGGCTTGGGCTACGAGTACATGGCAATGGTATTATTGTTCTTACCCGATGCACCTGGGTGAGCCAGGTGGTATGGTCAGTCCACACATGTTCCGTGATCCGGTTAACCTGGGTGATCCCGGTGGTACGGGCAGTACCCACCTGTTCTGCGGCCCGGTACATCTGAGTAACCGCGTTGGTCAGTATCCACCTGTTCTGCGGCCCGGTACACCTGGGTGACCCCGGTGGTATGGTCAGTCCCCACATGTTCCGTGATCCGGTTAGCCTGGGTTACCCCGGTGGTATGTATGGTATGTATGTCCAGTACCCACCTGTTCCGCGGCCCGGTACACCTGGGTGATCCCGTTGGCACGGTCAGAACCCACCTGTTCTGCGGCCCGGTACACCTGGGTAACCGCGTTGGTATGGTTGGCTGTCAGTTGATCCTCCAGAAGCGCCGCTGCGGTCTGTGCCACAGATCTCAGACGAAGGCTGTCCTCGGTAATCTCGCGAACACAGCCCAGGCAGTGGGCCTCCTGAGCAGCGGGCACCAGACGTCACTCGTCAGGGCGTCAGATGACGTCATTCGTCAGGCCATCTGATGATGTCACTCGGATGACGCCGATGCAATCAGGCGCGCATTGGCCGGACAATGCAGGCCGTGAAGAATGTTTTTCCCCAGAAGAATGAAAGCATTGCGCTGCCACATTGTGAACTGTACATGTACCAACACATAAAAGAACACCATGAATCATTGTTCTTTCAACCACGCTCGCATATACCCATCGGTTCATAGAAATAACAACACCGTCCGGATTCGCCGGCCAGGCCTGTCTACCTTACGAACAAACTGTGTGAGTGTCACACCTGGTTAGAGGTCTGAAGAGGTCGTCCGGGCCGTTACCATGTTGCGATGCGATCAGAAGCATTATCCGATGGTCAAAAGTCTGAATGCTGTGACATTACATGCCATATTCAAACTGACAATGACACTTATTCATAACGCTATCCACGAAGGGTTCAAGACGGGGCGAGTCACACGCTTCACTTCTCCTGAACAGGCCCGTACTTGCTCCGCCCCCACCCCCCGTACCCTCTGCCATGCCCGCTCCGTGACCTGCTGGTTAGTTGGAGCTTCCACCGGTGCCGGTCCGGTGGGCCTTCAGCCCCTACCTACCCCCTTGCCGATATCGCTCTCCTCCGGCACCGGCTGGGCGTCCGCGGGCTGCTGCTCTTCGGGGATGGCGAACCCTTCAAAGGCGGCCAGGAACTCGTCCAGACCTTGCAGCGCAGCGGGATTGGCGGGCGCAGCCGCCACCTGGTGGCAGCTGAGCAGCAGCACCAGCAGCAGACGTGGCCAAGTCAGCGGCACCTCCATCCTGGTTATGGTAGTCGCTGCCGAGCAGTCTGTCCTGGGCAGAATCTGGCGGTTTGAACGCTTGGTTACAAGAAGAGCGCCACCTGTGGAGGTTGCCATAGTAACGCACTGCGATAAATGTGACGAGCCAGTCACCAGACTGTTGCCTTGCTCGACGCAGCGCGAGCGAGGCGATGAAAGATGCGGGGGTTGTCAGCTGTTGTAACGTCGATAGTGTCAAAGCTAAGCCGAAGGAGTCAGACACCTGCGGCGACCGATACACATGGGCTTGATTGAAACGTTGTCATGCACCATTCATGGGAATTTAAGAGGTGTAGGTCTGCTGATGCGATGTCGCGGGCTAACTCACAAATAAGTTTTACCGCACAATTAACGGTCCATTTTTTCAGAGACGCAGGTGTTTATATACATCTCAATGGGAAGAAGTGTCTATGGATCGAGTTTCTCAACACATCTTTTATAGGACGTATTTCACCGTTCAAGATGAGAAGACATAACGCTTGAAGGAAAAATGGGTAAGCCAACATCGAACATTCATTTCCAGTCAAAACTAACGTGTCCCAAAATGGCACGTTTCGCTAAAGGCAGCTGATAGCTGGTCAAAACAAGAACACGGTTACTATGATAATATACCGCTCCGTGTTCGTCCACTCGAGGCTGATTTCGCAGCGAACTGGCAGTTATGGTCTGGTGTATGGTCTGTTTTTTGTGGCTACTAGTTACGTTAGCCATTTATGGCCTGGTTTATGGTCTGCTTTTTGTGCTTACCAGCTACGATAGCCATTTTTGGTCTGGTGTATGGTCTGTTGTTGTGGTTCCCAGTTACGTTAGCCATTTACGGTCTGATTTTTAGCCTGGTCCCGCAGGCTTTTTCAGCACATCGGGAGTGCAGTCATAGCCCAACCAAGCTACCAACTGCCAATACCATAGTTTGCTGTAGTTTTCGGCATTGGTCGCCACTGCGCACAGGATCTGCTTTCTTCTCTTTTCTCTCGTCTGTTCAGGTCGCGGGGTGAAGTCTTTCAGAGACGAGGAACCCCAAAACTTTGGAAAGTAGCTTTTGGCGATGCGTGACCTTTGTGATAGAACGGCTCATCTCTGTAAAGAGGGTGTTGATAACGTCGTAGCCTCCGCGATTGTGTGCGGGAATTCACGTCGGTGTCGTTCAAAATTGGCTTGGGAATTGACATAAAGAGAAAAAGCTACCGCTGAGAGCGACTTAACAGGCAATTGTTTTTTTCACTAGAACTGTGTTGATCGGAATGTGCTCCGCCACTTGTAAGTGTGACTGACGTCAGTAGAAATGAACGTTGTGATTGGCCCAGCGAGCAGCGCAAGGCCTTTAGCCAGAAGTGCTATGGTGGAAGTTTGAACCTACGTCACTAGACCACGTGATGTGACACTGGCGTATACCAGCGTCCTACCACAAAAGTCAAACACAGTCTCTCGACGACCTGAGCACCCAAATAAACAAGGTTCCCTAAGTGCATTTCGAAAAGACTCGCCGAGCGTAAAGCCATAGGAGAGTAATCAAAGCCATAATATGACACTTCATTGAATCCGCATGATGATGACCATATATTTTGATATATTTTTCCTAAGCAGTGTTCAAGTTTTCGTAGAGTTTATTGCATATGCCTTTTGATCATTTAGAATGATTTGCAAGTGTGTTAATGCACATGATGGGAGAGAGGAAAACGAATGGAAAGTAATGTTTCCGTAGTGGAGAGCAGGGACTCAAATGGCACACCTATCGCAGCGGCCACTTCAAATCGAGTTATAAACTATCCAGAATTGCACAGAATGGCATTACCGGCAAATGGGACATGACTGATGTAAAAATGGGTGAAAAGTACGCAGAGGTGTCACACTCCCTTTCACAGAAATGACGCCCATGGTTTCTGTACGAAAGCACGTGTAAATCTGCGCAGGTCATCCCACGCTTTAGTTAGTGTGATTGTCCGTCCTCTCCTTCGTCAGCACGTTAACCTCGCGGAGATTCGATGCCGAGCTGTGATCTGGAGTCGGTTTTGACATACCTCCATCAGATTTGTTTTCCGTGTGAAAGTTTTAGCTTTTTTGTTCATCAAGCCGGGAGGATGAATTCGTCGTGGTATTGCCTAAAATCCCGGCGTCACAAAAAGCTTGCATGCCAAAGCCTTTTAATTTAAAGGCTACGACTTTTGAAGAAATGCTCTTTTTATGCTGAAAACCGCGTAAGCCGGAGATGAGTTGTTGCAGAAATATTAGCTTCTAGCAAGCGTGGCGGCCGGGCTGGGTCGTCAAGTTTCAAAATTTCTCATGAACTTTCGGCAAAGATTCACTCAGACCTTCACCTCGCTCATGCAGGCCACTCATACAACTGACATCTGAAAAGTCTAAACGACTCGCCTCTAAGCGTCGCGTCAGTGTTTTACGAAAATGTTGGGATTAAATCTGTCTTACGAATGAAAACCTTACAGTATGTTGGAACAGATGAATCACAGATCGAAGCCATTGCGAACCGTGTTTCGACTGGGGGTTCACCTGCGTTCGTTGGTACCGCACAGTAGGTCTGATCACGGAGTGGTTGATAATAGCTCCGTTGGTAGCGTCTCGGAGGCCTGATCACGGAGTGGCTGACAATTAGCTCCGTTGGTAGCGTGCCAGAGGCCTGATCGCGGAGTGGATGACAATTAGCTCCGTTGATAACGCACTGGAGGCCTGATTACGGAATGGCTGACAATTAGCTTTGTTGGTAGCGCACCGAAGACCTGATCACGGAGTGGGTGACAATTAGCTCTGTTGGTAGCACGCCAGAGGCCTGAACAGGGAGTGGCTGACAATTAGCTCCGTTGGTAGCGCGCCAGAGGCCTAAACACGGGATGGCTGACAATTAGCTCCGTTGGTAGCGTGCCAGAGGCCTGAACACGGAGTGGCTGACAATTAGCTCCGTAGGTAGCGCGCCAGAGGCCTAAACACGGAGTGGCTGATAATTAGCTCCGTTGGTAACGCACTGGAGGTCTGATGACGGAGTGGCTGACAATTCGCAACTCGGCAAGGACCCGGATCCCAGAGCTATCCCTGTTAAGTGTTTGAGCGTACACATTTTTATCTCAACTTTTTCTGTGGCTGTTAAACAAGTAGTAATAAAAATGCAGCTCTCCAAACAAAACAACAACAAAACGGAAAACAGCATTTTTGATTTATATGGAATGGCTTCGGCTGTAACGCTATGTAATCCATTGTCGTCATAATAGAAGAACCACTATCGCGTCGTCGCCCCTAAAGAAACTCATGGTAAAGCTAAAGTTTGCAGAATGACTACAGTGGCAAGATAAATATCTCGAAAATTGAAAGCCACCGAATGATTCAGGACCGCACAAACCAACTTTAACTAAGTCAAACCGATTTTCATATGGGCCCATTGCTTTAAGGTCAGTGACTCTAATCACCCATGAAAGGTAGGTAGCCCATGAAAGGTGCGGGCGGGCAAAAGGCGGCGATAACGACTCGTGCATTCCGCTGTACATTATGAGCGTTGCCATGTGTCATCTCGCCGCTGAAACACGTCACTTCAAGCGTTCCGCTGTACCTTATGAGCGGTGATATGCGTCATCTCGCCGCTGAAACACGTCATTTCAAGCGTTCCGCTGTACCTTATGAGCGGTGCTAGGCGCCATCTCGCCAGTGAAACACGTCATTTCAAGCGTTCCGCTGTACCTTATGAGCGGTGATAGGCGCCATCTCGCCGCCGAACCATGTCACGCTTAGTCAGATGGCAGCAAGGGCACAAGACGTTTTGTTTGCATAAAAGGGGCCCGCCTGCAGACGTGTCTGTCAACATGACGCTGACGTCCCAGCACTGAGTGGTTTGCAGTAAACAGCACTACGGCTCTCTAAACACCGAGCGGTGCGCAAACAAGATGGTGCGATCACGTCGTGGATCCGGGCCGGTGCCAGCCGCTGGGAGGGGTTGGTGTTCACGTTGACTTGGACTGTGGCTGGGTGTGGGGTTTGAAGGATTTGAAGGGTTTGTTCCTTCAGTTCACCGCGCAAGGCTCGAACGTCACAGCCATTTCCTTGGGTCGGCGCGCAGCCGTGACAAGCCGCATTCACAAGCATGGTGCACGGTGTGGCCAGCTCAGTCACAAGCATGGCGCACTGTATGCCCAACCGAATCACAAGCATGGCGCACTGTGTGGCCAGCTCAGTCACAAGCATGGCGTACTGTGTGGCCAGCTCAGTCACAAGCATGGCGCACTGTTGACCAACTCGGTCAGGAGTCTGCTACAGTCGTCAGGTGGAGCCGTTTCTTTCAGATTTGCATGTAAATTGGACCGTATTGTGTAATTAGTTGCAAAGGCGTAAGTCCTGCTACAGTTGCCAAGAGCAGACAGAATCCCTCTCATCCAAGCAAGCTCCTATAAATGTGCTTCTCATAGCTACAAACATTTCTTTCCGCTTATGATTTATCGACGCGATCCTCGTTCTACGCAGAAATGTAATTGACAGATACGTCTAAATCTGGATTGCACACATGGATTCTCTTGAGAACATTTTCTCAAGGGTTTAAGCAGACCGATGGGGGAAAACAAACAAAATCACGAAGATAGTCATTGGGTGTTACCCTGTCTCTTGGTAGATAACGCTAACATCTGTTTCCGTCCAATGTTACAATTCGTGACCTGTGCCCATTTCAGCGAAACAAATACAGTTCCAGCATCTATAAGCCTCACAGCTATCCGCGCTGATACAGTAACAGTGATACACAGCTAATGCCGGCTCCAAGCGATGCCCCGTTGGGGCCAGCGTTTTGCACATAATAGGCGCAAACGGTATTACACAACCTCTGCGCAGGTTACCTGCAGTGCCTTGCGACCCATTGCCGACATATGGCGGGTGTCGAGCCGGCCGGCACCACCTCGTGCTCACCTCAGCCGGGTGCAGTGACGCCGCTGGTGCCGCTCTGAGCTCACCGACGCGACGCAGCGCTCTCAGGGGCTCCGCTCGGCCGTGCCGCCGCCGCACGAGTGAAGCCGCGCACCGAGACGGGCCGCTCCAGGTCAGGGGCGCCCTCCCGGGGTCCGCCCCCACCGGGCGGCGCCGCCAGCTGCAGCCGTGGGCTCCGCCACCAGGGGCGGCCGGCACCGAGGGACGTGACCCTCAGCTCTTGCAGAAACGCCATGCCTATGGCGTTGCGAGGATCGGAACGTCGTAAACCTGGGTGGCCCGCTTTGTCAGCCCTGCGGCAGAGTCTCTAGCTGCCGCTAATGATAGCGTGGGTTTGCGACTGCAGTTCTATCCACAGTTGTAGCGGGACGTGGGACAACGGGCGCCTCGCAGCACCGGGCTGGACGTGGGCATAACGGCGCCAGCTGACCGACAGCTGAGCACTTGTGTGTAATGACGGCTTTCGGATTTGGGACTGTGCGGCGTGTTGGTCAGTGATGTATTTCTGGGCGCGTTAGGGACGCTTGCACTCATCTCGTGTGTTGAAGTTTTCACACGAGCGTTAATCGTTGTGCCGCAGACTATGTACTCAGATACGTCCGAGTCCCGCTCACTATAATTTCCATAATTTCGCTCTTGACCTTGATTGGCACCGGCCCACTTACATGCTCACGGTCCGGCACAGCCGTCGTCCGACTGTGTTCGTGCACGGAGCTGTTAATAGCAAACCGTCCACCGACCTCAAGCCACGAGTCTCCTGAAGCCGACAGCGAAGGCTGCACCAGGCCCGGGCCGTCCCCCTCCTCACTGACCTCCGCAGCGGCCATCAGGTCAGCACCGAGCGCAGAGCCGTGCCCCGTGCCGCCGCGCCGGAGGGCGGGCCGCGCCCCACGGCCGTTGATGTGACGGGGCGGGGCGGCGCGGCGCCGGCAGCCGGCGGGACTGACCCTGCGCTCGGCGGCGCACGACTCAGGGTATGACTCACCCACGTGTGCACGGCGTCAGAACCTGCATACCTAGCTGCATTCAAGGCGGGTGTCTGCAACTGATTGTTCGCCGTTTAATCCAACATTTCCGCGATCAAAGCGGGCTACAGACGGCAATAACACATGCATATGTCCAGTCGTGCATCGCGCATAATTACCATACTTTTAAAAGGTCATTGGCGGCTGGTCCTGTAGTATTCGTCATATTGCCGTCGGAGACAGGCTGCCTAAGCTCAAGTTCACCGTCGAGAACTGTGCGTGCGGAGCACATTCTCACGAGCCTAACAGTCAAATTGTTTGGCCCGCCCGCACCAATAGGTTGCTGACATTGTGGCCCAGCCAGACAAGTACCGTGCACATCGGCCTCGCTGGCGGTATAATAGCATTCTCCAGCGCTGGCCGGTTTCGCCACCGACTGCGCAGTGAGCTCCCATCGGTTGGACCGTTTTGCGGAGCCAGCCGGATGTCGGGTTAAGACCGGAGCATCCCGCGAGCGGAGCAGCGCACGACCCGCGCCGGCCCCGGAGAGTCGCAATCGAACAGCAGGGGTCGCCAGGCTGTTCACTCGGCCAGCGGTGCCTGACGCGTGGGCGGCGTCGCCGTACGCAACCGACTCCGGTCCCGGATCCGGACAGCGTCCACAGCAGCCCCCCCCCCCCCCACACGGGCACACCCGGCCACACGGGCACACCCGACCACAGGGCACACCCGGCCGCAGGGCACACCCGGCCACAGGGCACACCCGACCACAGGGCACACCCGGCCACAGGGCACACCCGGCCGCACGGGTACACCCGGCCACAGGGGTACACCCGGCCACAGGGCACACCCGGCCACGGGGCACACCCGGCCACAGGGCACACCCGGCCGCACGGGTACACCCGGCCACAGGGCACACCCGGCCACAGGGCACACCCGGCCACAGGGCACACCCGGCCACAAGGCACATCCGGCCACAGGGCACACCCGGCCTCACGGGCACACCCGGCCACAGGGCACACCCGACCACAGGGGTACACCCTGCCACTGCGGCCACACGATCAACTTACGAATGTGGGCGGCGCAGTCAGCACATCATCAAATCAGTTCCAGCCCGATGTCACTGGTGCGGTGTCACGCTACTATCATTCGCCCGGACCGCCGCCTCCGGTCCTGTGACGTCACCGCTCAGGGTCATGTGACGTCACCGCTTATGGTTCTCTGACGTCACCGTAGCGACAGCTCAACCCCACGAACGCGTGCGAATTGCTCAGATCCGGTCAGCAATGGGGAGAGAGCGGGGGGCTGTAACAAGGACGGATTAGCGTGAGCGTCACGGCATTGCACTGCAGTGAACGATTTCCGACTGTTTCCCAGTCCTTATCTGAAGAAATACCACGGCCCCTCCATCCGCTTTGCATATAGTTTTGTTCGATGTGTGTGATGTTTCATTCCCACTGCATTCTCCACACACAGGTGCTTTATCATACACACTGCACATACACATATGTACATATATGTCTATATCATACGTGCATTACATAAATCCCTGTTTTCGTCATTTGTTATCACGAGGCAGCCTCGCGGCCTTGCGACCTACAATGCGGCCTTGGGATTGATCAGAAGATATTATGCATGCACTTCTTATACGCTATTGCGTAGCACGCACGGCAGCCATCGCATTCATCTCAGCCCATCGAGCGCTCGCTAAGCGGCTGCCAATACCTGTGTCGGCAGCAGCCGCAGTCAGCACCTCTCCTCCGCCGTATCCCACGCGGCGGGCCGGTGTTCCCGGAACTCGCTCCGAACCATGCACAGCGTGGGCTGACCCGGGCGGGGAAAACGACCGCCGTGAGTCACCAGTCCGCTCCGGCGTGGGTGTCCCGCTGGCGAATGTACAGGGCGAGCGGCGACGGTTCCTGTTGTCCGCTCCCGTGTCCGCACGCACCGCTTTGTCCTCAATCCTCGCAACGCCGCGCCTAACCGGGCGGGCAGCCGCCGTCAGTCTGGAGCTGGCGATGCTGACGCCCTGGCCGGAGACGTCCGGGCAAGGCGTCGGCTCACAATCCGCCGCATGCCTGTGGTGACCGCCTTGTTGATGATGTGTAGAAAAGTTATCTTACCAAGCGATCGATTCGGCTCAATGAAGTAATACAAAATGGCGACATCGCAACACGGCGAGGATCAAAACGGTGAAATACGGAATGGCAACATCTGAAAAAATTGACACAAAAATAGCGAACTGTCCAGGGGCCGCGTGTGACTAAATGGCGTCAGGGGACTCTGGCGCAGGGACGCCCCACCCCCGCGCAAACCGCGAGGTGTCTCAGCGCGGGGTGAGACTCGCCCGTAGAGGTCATTCATTCACCCCATGGATTTTTCATCCACCCTTGATGCTCGGCATACAAAAGCAAATCGGACAACGGCATTAATTCCCCGCCTCTCCACAATTTCATTATAGCTCGCTCGGTTCACCATGTATTTTGCATGCCTGTCATCCTGATAGCGCTACATCGTGGCGCTTTCTGACGATGGCACCAACACGGAACCACCGGACGGCGGGGTCCCACCAATGTCGGGGCAATACACAGCACGGCATCGGCAATGCCACAATGGCAAGATGATATCACCGAAATAATGGAGAAAAAGTTGGCAATTGTGTGGGAATTGAAAAGGCATGCAGTGATGATGTGGCATAGCATTTGTGGTTATGACATGTATGCAGTGGAAAAGCAAAATAACACAACTGACTCCTCCGATCTCGTCCTTAAGACCATCCGCATTGCCTCGTCGAAACGCATCTTGCAAAGTAATGTACCACCTGCACACTTACATCTAGTACTACATAAACGCCAAGCCTAGAAAACGCATGCGATACGATCACTCTAAGGTTATCCGGCAATAGAACACGCAAGCGGTTTCCGCACCGCAATAACAGTATGCCATAAGTACGTCCTCGTGATGGTTACTATCGCGGCAAGAAACGGCATTTCCCTTTGCCGTTGATTCCCCGGTGTGCTCGGAACAAAACCATGGCCTTCGCAAAGACCGGCAAAGACCTTAAAACACATTTCGGGTAGGTTTGTGTGCCTTGACACGTGCTTGATCTTCAAAGATCACTGACAATCTTGCTGTTGTTGAGTTTCTCCGCAGCGGAGGTCTCCGTAGTTTTTTTAAGCCGCCTGTCGTCAACCGCTAATGTTTACTGGCTGTTTACTACGTGGCTCTTCTGTGGTATAGCAGCATTTCCCGTGAAGCACCGTGGCGAGAAGCCCG